ACGTTTTGATTCACGGGCTCACTGACTTAAAACGTCAGTTAACTTCTGTATCAACGTGTCCCCAGCAGTCCATCGCTTGAGGTGGAAATGGCAAGCCTGAAGCAAATGTCGAACATGGCTTTACTAAAAAAAACAGCCAAAAGTTTTAAATTTTAACTCACCAAACCATAGTTTATCATAATAACTAAAACAATTATTAAAAGCAACTTATTTATGGTCAACCCGTTCACTAACCTGTTGCAATTATCGCGGACGTATTTTATCATCGAAAAACTTAGCTTTTATTTGGCAGACTCTCTGTGTTGCACTAATGATAGAAATTTTACAGTTAAGGACTCAACGTATTTAGCCATATTAAACTAAAATGTGGGGAAAAAAATTACCCCTCTTGAGTCTGAGTTATTTGATTGTGTCTACAAAAATCTGCTCCTAATTTTTTTCCTAATATGTATTTTGGGTTCATTTATTACGAGCTAACTTCAACTTGCAGAAAGAAACATTAATTTGAAGCAGCCAAACATGTCGACACCACAGTAATTTTATATTCCATGGGTAGATAATAGCATCAAATTCAATTTAGCAATTTAGAAAGGGCTTACATTCACCGCCAGTGGTCTCATGAGGCCCAAATCGTTTTTTTTTCACCTACGTCCATGTTGCGAGAAAATATTTGCGGAAAGTTAGGGGAAGAGTTTGTAACTTGTCCCGCCATTGCATGTCGTTCTTCTTATGCGGTAAAATAGTTAAACCGCCGCCTTTTGCTGTACCTACGCCCCCCCTTTTCATCGATAAAAATGAGAAATACCGGATTTGGAATGCATTCTAATTAGTTTTTACAAAGTCACAGAAGCATGATTTGTCCCTTACTAGAAGCCACGTCTTATAAACCTCATAAAGGCATACTCTCCATCGAGGTCACGAAACTGAGAATTGTTCAGTCCAAAAACCTTCATTCTTTGCTACTCGTAGTGACAGAGATCAGGTGGAAGATAGACGATGACAGATACAGGATTGTTTTGTGTGTTGCTAAACGGTTGTGATTGTAGTTATAGCTGCAAAATAAGATGGTCCTAAGAATCACAATGCACCTCAGAAGGCAATAATTTTTTTACAGTTGATAAATTCGGCAAAAAGCCTCACAAATTAAGCCATGCACCTAGTAATATTCATTAGATTACCATTGCTCTGGGGATTTGTTTTTTATTGCTAAAACTTGCTGCCGTACTTAAGCACAAAACTCATTGCAACAATACATCAAAGTAGAACTTATGATTTTAGCTATGACCGTCATTGTGACCTCAGAATTCTGTCGTCGATGTTTTACATGACGAAATCTTGTCTTACTTGTTTTATCAACTGCTTCAGTTCGAAAATTAATTCCCATTTGTGTGTCCAAACCGAAATAAACCACAAAATGAATTAGAGTGGTGTGATGTAATCCTACCGCATAAATGCATTGCTTATTTAGAAAAAAAAGCAAGAGGCCACTGCTTTTATCAGTTGGGTTCCACTGTACATCCACAAGGTCCGTATCAAAGCAAAATTTCTCAATTATACCGCAGCCACTGTTGATTTTATGCATTTCAGCATAAGATTTCGTGGACGCAAGCAAAAGTAAAGTCTTTGTTGGTAAAGCACCAACTACGAAGAGGTCGGATGCACTGCGCAAACAGTTTGTTGACTAATGTCCAGTGTGGGCTTTGAAGCTTACTTCGCATCATGTCACTCCTGTGACAAATAAACTCCTCCATGTCTTGTACGTACACTTCTGTGCAGTTGACTGCAGCAGTTCTCACACCACTCTATAAAGTGCTTATTGTTGAATTTACACTAAAACCGATTGATGAATTTTATTTTAAATTTTCTTATGAATGGGATATGGGGCAGGCTGACAAAGCAAAAATTCGTTTCGTTTGAATCTGTTCAAAACACAAGCTTCACAGCCAATTTACTATTTTTATAGTGGATTATTGCGTTAGCCTGATTTCACCACGCATCAACTGCCTTTTCTTTATCACTGCACCGATCCATAGGTAGCATTGCAGTAAAGAATTCGCTTGTCTAATATATAGGTCCGAATTCGACTTTGATGTAATCTACCTGAGGAGTTGAAGCGACTCCGCATTGCTAAGTATCCCCCAGAAAGGAGGATTGCCAAGTTATTAAAAGTCACAGAAAATGGACATTTCTCCGTAGTGCTAGAACTTGGAAATTAAACGTAATTTTTGCACGATTTTGCAACTTTTCTAGGAACTTAAACGACGACTTACTAGTCAAGTGATAAAATTGGCGACGCCTAATTCCCGTCTGGAGTAAGCTCGTAAAGTGGGAGTTTAGTATCTTGGATTTTTGCTTTAAGAACACACATTTAGACTGGTACTCCTAGGGACTTAAACAAGAACGAAACGCCTTCATTTGTTATTAAGATCAAACCTCTGAGGTCCCGGTGCACGACTTAGCAGAATCCTGGTTGATTTTTTAAGAATTTAGGGGTTCTAGCTTTGTAACTGTACCTTTACCTCTTCAGTTTTGCATGCAACTTAGCAGCAGTAGAAAATACGGCATTAACTACAAGTAGATGAGAAAATTTCTTTTACCAAAACTTAATTATGTATCCTTAGACTAAATTTAATTTGTCCCCTTACCTGTTTTAAGTGCCAGTCTTGCAAAAGCGATTTACAATGATTTAAAGTCAAAATTTAACTCAAGAGAAAGGACAGGTAGATACACCGGACCTATTGAAACAGGAAGCCCGTGAATTACATTCTCATGTTTGATGTAACTTGGCGAACTTATGAATTCGCCTGCGGTATTCAAACGTCTTTAAGTCTAACTGCGTTTCTATGGCACTTGAATTTGGCCTAAGTGTCATGTGCCTAAGTGTGTGGTGAGGCATGCAGGAAATAGAAGAGGCAGTTTTGTTATTCTTATATTTGCGATTACTTTCATAAGAGTGTACAAAATTCTCCCCAGTCAAACCTCTCAAAGAGTTGTCGCCTAAAAGAAGCCCGCATTGCCTTGCAATATGACCAAACTCTACTCTTATCATCAGTTTCTTAAACTCATAGCAGAGTGCAGAAATATTTTACCATTCAAATATTACCAACTTTTCGATATCATTTTTTGTACATTTTGACCAGATAATAGTTGATGATTGCGCTCACAATTTCCGAACCTCAGCGTCATGGTCAGATGTGAAGGCATTCTGAAACTTTAGTGCTCATAAGCCTACGTCTTTGAGAAACAAATGCAGTGAATTCAGGTACTTAGGGTGAACACTACGTGAATTTTACATTTAGCCTTTTTGATTTCAATTCAATTGGCAAATTTTTTTGCAATTTCGCTACATTTTCAACAAGGCCAAAGCACAAATGGAATGTATTTCTCTTCAGTTTAAAGAGCTATTGCGACTGTATTCAATATGAAAATGAAGCCTGTTGACCATTTTTCATGTGCAGATTTGTGTTATGGGCTTCCTAATTGCTATTTTCGGTTGGTTTTTGCTATTATGTTCTCTTGTATTCAGTGTTTGCGCTTGATTGTGGCTAATGATGGATTTCATCTACGTAATCTTACCCCTAAAACCAATTATTCACCTTGTTTGGGCATTATTACTAATGACTATGTACCTTTGCAGCTTAGAGGTCATCGGTATTTAAGTACAGCATCACATCCATGAAAAAATACGCAGTTCCTTGCATACGTTAGGCGCAAATAGAGGTCGAAATTCTCCCAGATTGTTTCAACACAATAAGTGCCTGCTATGTCACCACTTTTGACATTAATTTGGTTTTAAAAATTAGAGATGCGTCTTTTGCAGTAATTTAAACCCTAATTAAAATCAAAGTGTCCCGACACATTTATGTACTTGACAATCTGTACATTTACACCTAGTGAGCAAAGGCAACCTGTTATAGCAATCATTAATATCGTTCAATAGCGCTAATATAGTCCAAATTTTTTTCTTCTGTATGAAAGCCTGGGGCTAAGTCGTTGATTCTTTTGGTTTTATTTGCGTTTTTTCTATTGATGGTTACGGCATAAAACTCCAAGCAATCAGTTTCATTCGATAGCATCACATGGTTTAAGGATAAGCTTGTTAATATGTTTCAAGAAGTCTTCGAGTTAATATGACCCGATTTTGTCAAAATCATGCAATAAAAGCCAAAAATGATTCCAGTTTCGTGGAATTTTACTAACAATCCGCACTAAGGATTGCAGCTTTGTGTTATTTCATATTAATTGCACACTCCTAATTAAACTTAAGGTGAACCATAACCCAAAGTCAAAAAATATAAATATTAACTGAAGCAACAAGCGCAGGACTATGTGATTCAAACGCTCACATTTAATGGATTAATGCACAACCTGAATGTCTACTAACTCTGTCGCCACCCCTTGTGGTTTCATTGAAATAACACTTCAACATTGAGATGCGTATCTTGGGAACTTCGCACTTACAAAAATTGGCCATCAACGAGCACGCACCTAACTCTAACTTACTTGAATATCCAAGGACATAGGCCTGCATACTATTATTCCAGTCAGAAGACTTTGTTTCACATTTGATTCGTGAACTAGTTTTTCGGCTACAAACGGGTCGTACAAAGTTCAAATTAAGTAGGGTTTCAAGTTAGTCAAATTACTAAAAGACATTCAGTTTTGATCAAGAATGCGTCTCCAACATGCCCATGTTTATGAATTTACGTGCGCCCAAGGTATTACTTGTTATGTTTTGATGGCACCTTCTGCTTCTTAACTGATGGTAAGCCTGCTTTTACAATATGCACAACTACGTCCGTTAAAAGGCCTTTCGGTCAATATTTGGAGTCCGTGAACAATACTGACAAATGGATACCGGTTCATATTGTTGCTCAAGTCCTCAATAATGCGGTGTGTCGGTAAGCGACTTCATAGGAAAAAAATGCTTAGAGGACAAAATGCACATTCCTTCAAATGGGTAGCGTAAAATAATGGAGTTCAGCAACAATGAGTCTGATTTACACTTTGGTTTGTTGTTGCTGACTAACTTGGACTTCAGCACGGTCGTCTGCGTCCCTAAAGCTGTTAGGCTGCTGGAAGCCACTTACAAGAAATGTTTCGGCTTTTTGAGGAATTGACGGTGACACACGCAAATCCGGGGAAACCCTCACCAGATGCTGGTCAGTCCCCACAGTAATTGAGGCCTGCTGGCATTCATTTAAACTTGCCCTCCCAGAGCCAAATCCATGAACACATGGCACGTCCTGATTGCACTCGCCATAGGTAGAAGGTCTTCGCGCGAGAACTACTGGATTTCCAACTGTGTCTCTATCTGGGGTGAATGTCAAGATTTGATATGTTGAATTTGCCGTTGTTCCCGTGTCTGCCAGTACGTAGCTTGTACTAGGCACCGGCATATGTTGGACATAGTTTTGGTCCATTCCACTGCTGATAAGACGTTTGGAGGAGTAGTACGGTGAACAGGCGGAAATCTGGGGGGAGGGAATGCGTCTGACTGTGTCTGGGTCTCTGCGGTCGGGTCGCTGCGTCCAATAGCAATTACCACTGCCTCCTCGCAACTTTTCGTATTCAAAGCCAGGAGTGTAGGTGGCAGTATCGTAGGCCACGATGCCGAATGCCTGGGGACTACCGGCATCGTAGTATCGTGGATATGTTGTCACTGCATGTTTCTTCACCCTCCTTTTGTATCCTAAGAACCCAACAAGTCCAACTAAACCAAGAAGCATTAGCATCAGTGCTACTCCAAACATGACCCACAAAATTAGTTCCAGTTCGGGTTCTGAGACTAGCCAGCTTAAACCATATGTCTGTTTCTTTCGTTGGGCGGTCGGTTCAACTGGAGCTACCACGGGAACCGTGTCATGAAGCATGTCGCCGGAAGTTGGTCCGGGTATAAAGTAGGAGGGAGTTCGGCTAGTTGTTTCAAAGGAATTGTGATATTCGAAAGACGGGGTGACAGCCCTGGTCGAGACTACAGTAGCTGCGGTAGTAGTTGTGCTGGTGGTGGTGGTAGTGGTTGGTTGAATTTTGCATGGATTGAATGGGAGCCAATCAAGGCGACCATTAAAAAGGCGTCTGCAACTAACGTCAACGTGATTGCACGACAACTCGCAACTCTCCGATGTGATGGGGATGTGTTTACCATTTATTTCTTCACCAGGACAGACGACGATTTCACACTCCTCTATTGCCGCACACGTCTGACATTCTACAATATAAGTAGAATTAAATTGTTTAGCTAGCCAAGTTGCGTGTTAAACTGTTATCGGCAGATGTGTTATCCGATTCCATCATGCAAAATAGCATTTCACATTAAAAAAACCACACACAAATAAGTTCTTTCAATTAACAAATGTAGCAACCTCAGTGAATTATTTGAGAAAATGAGTAATTGAGAACACCCCTTATCATGTTTCATTTTTTTTCGTTACGAAGCTACCTAATATGAGCATATTACTTTTCTCGTAAATTCCAACGCATTCGCACTGAGCCAAGGTATTTGTTAGGTTCTTTAGGTTAAGGAATCAAAATGGTATTAAAATCGTCCGATATGTATTTTGCTTAATGCCCGGATTCTGGCAAAAATTGATAGTATTTTTGACTTTTTTTAAATATTTTTTTTTGATGAGTAAAGATTACTTAGTTTTAGCTGAAAAACGGTGTCAATCAAAAACAGAACTCTTCAGTATATAAAGTCTGGAATAATTTCGACAGAAATTGAGTAAGTATTAAGTTGGTTTTTTCTAAAATTAGATAAAGTCTGGAAAAAAATAATAAATGGCCTGTACTTCAAGAGGTGAATTTAAGATGCGGGCTGCTCAAGGAAACGTGTTTTGTGAGGTTAAAGTAGTTTGACGATCAAAGGATCAAATTTTTTTTACCTTTTGCCTTAATACTTACTTCAGAGTATCCTGGGCATCAACGTCGAGGTTGTAAGATCTAGGATCAAAAGCTAAGTAAGTGCGGCCGATTAATGTTACGACACTGTACTTTTGCTGGCCACAATTTAAGCTACACTTGTCATCACATACGAATTATAATCCCGCTCATAGTTTACCTACTTAAATCAAACAATGACTGCTTTAAAGTGCTAAGTGGTAAGATGGCTTTCTTTGCACGCCAGAATCTACAAAAAACAAATTTGACTGAGGATAAAGGGTCATTAAAATGAACAACTTTGTGCCCATGGGTTTTCATGAATTTCTCATGTAAAATAAAAGAATTTATGAATATATCCCAATGTTGGTTATTTGCGTACTCCCATAAATATCTTTTGAAATTTTGAAGATAAAATTAGTTAGCTTGATTTTTATTTTATTGTTAATATAATGTGGCGGTGAAAATCCATATATTAAATTAGTGCTCTACTTAGAAATGATAGTGCATTATCCAAATTTATATAGAATTCCTTGCATTTTAATTAGTCGCGATCTGTTTTTATCATTCTATCGCACATACAAAGAACCGTCAGAAATATATCTTCTCTTTTTAAAACCTCTAAAAGGAATGACCGTATCAAGATAGTCAGCCGACCATGAATATAAATTAATGAAATCCCAATATCAACTAGGCGGATCAAGAATGAATATAACGAAGTCATTCTGCAATTTGGGATGACTATTTTATGCATTTTTTAAGCCTGCCCTGTTTTAGGGTTCTACTTGGTTAGAAAAAAGAAAGTTTCATTTTATAAACTCTTACATTAGCTTCCAGCTGTGGTTTAATGGTTATAGAATTGTATTAAAATATTTACTTTCAGATCAACTGTGGCTGAAGCTGTAACTCACATAGTTTTAAGTGAGTTTTTGTAAGCATATCGGAAAAGGTAGATTTTAGATGATGGCCAGCCTTAAAAAATTATGCAGTAAGGATTTCTTTCCAACTTATTCAAAAATGTTTAAAAAACACCGTTTGCGAAACCAAAATATTATGGTATTTATTCACGCAGGTGAAAATTAATTCAGTTAAAGTTATAAATATTAAAGTAGCAACTACGATAATTTGCGCCTTTGAAACTGTATTTTTTGAAAATGCGTTTATCTTAGGTCAAGGAGTCCTCTTTCAAGTTGAGTTGTTTTCATTTACTGTCGCGTTTGGTGCGCATGAAACATTTCTGATTGGCCCCTATTAGGACAACAAAAACACAATAAGCAAGCCCTGAGAAACACCGTTTTCCGAATTTCGCAAAGAAAATACTCAATTCGGACATGAAAATGGGTTAAACTATCGTAACATAAAGACTGACCTAATAACTCTTTTCCTTTCCTGAATATCGGCAGCAGTTTTGAGTGCTCGTAGGAGTCAGTCTATTCATCCAAATATTTCTTTTTTTCGTGTTCTCACATTTCACGCAAATACAAGTTTCTCTTAAGGACTTTTTGTTCATCCTTTACAAACATTTTACCACAAATATGCAGATGTTGCATATTTACCTGTTTTAGTAACTGTTTATAACAATATGAAACTATGACTTATTCCAAAATTTGTGTAAAATTGAATGAAATTGGGTGTTTGAGTGATGTGAGAGAAAAAGGTGCTTTCTATGATCACAAGAGCCCTAACATCTTATCTGTATTGTAAAGGTGTGTTGAGTGAAACCAGTACAAGTAATGACTATACTCAGAACTACAGATTTCCGATTTCACGTTACCGAGATTTACAAAGTGCACTCCACACTTAATTCATGTACGGAACGAAATTTGGTCAAATTCACTAATTGGTTTTCTTATCTACTTCTTGTGGAATTTCATGAAATTTGAACCTGAAATGAATCGATTAGTATGCAACGCACCTTAGTAATCCGTATCAGAAAAAACGGTGGCAAACCAAAAACGTTAATTGGACTTCTTAATATTCAAAACCATAACTCAGGTTTCCTGAAAAAGGCATTCCTGATACAAAACAATCCTTTAAATTTAAACTTTTCTGATTCAAGGAGTTTCTGACAGTTAATTTTAAAGTGTCTTCAGTCATGTTTTAAACTACAACTTGGTCCCAGTTTTAAATAGAGCTTGCTAGACCTACTTGCAGGTCATCTCCGAAGCCATTGACCGATTTACCGGTCTATTCGATCATTTTTCCCTAATACGAAAATGAACAAGGCGTTCTGTTTTTAATGAGTCTAGTAATTTTTAAGTCCTATCAAAACTTACCCAAGCTGTAATCGGTCTACACTTTAATGTAACAGAAATTACAAAAAAACGTGTTAATAAACTAGTATTAATAATCACCCATTTTTAAGGACTTGTTTTTTCTTGGTGTTTGATAGAAGTCACTTTTACTTTACCTTTAAGTGCAATCTGTTTGGGTTAACCGATATCATGCGCAAACAAAGATTTGAGTCATGAAGGGTGCAAAGGAAGCGAATAGCCAGAAATGGACTACATTGACATTGCTCATTGACATTTTTAACTCAAAACTGACTCACTGATTTCAGCTGAAGAAGAACGTGAAACAAGTGTGCAAAAGACGGCAGACAGGCTAGGTATGTCATTTATGACAAACGAATCACGATTAAAACCATTTGGACTTGCTTATAAGCGTTGCACACAGGTTTCGCGTGATTTAAAAGAACCCTAACGTGCATTTCAAATATAAAAATAATGGAAAATCAGTTGCATAAAATAGTACGGGTTAATATGGCCACGGTCAAAGCATGATAAACTAGGTCAATCTGTACGGAAGGCCGCTACAATGATAAAAAGCAATCAGATCAGGAGCTTGGTGTCCATAGCTAATAAACTTAAGGCAGTGTACAATCCCAAAATAGTGACGATAGACTGATTGAAATGAAACCAAGTCTTCAGAACAACTCAAAATCTCACACTTATGTTGAAGCTTATGAAAAATTATAGAATGCCATCTGTCTCAACGTCATCATGACTTCTGCTATTTATAAAGACCTGAAACCAAGCATTTTTCCATTTCCTTCTGATGGAGATAAAAGTTTCCAAGAGGGAAAAATCAAAACTTTCCCAGAAAGTTGAAAAGCTAATCTATGAAAGCAAAAAAGTATTTCAGGTAAGGTTTCCTCCCTGCTTATGAAAACTTAGTTTTATTTCACACTATCATAGGAAGAAGCTGGAAAATTAAGTGCTATGGCAGAATCAATTTTATATATGTCAGTTGTAAAGATGATTTACTAGTGAGGCTTTCTGCATTTTTACCTTATTTGTGAGAGTTTATGTTCTTGCAAACACCCCCATAAGAGTTTTTATAATTTGTCTGTCACGGAATGTCACAGATCTTCTTTTATTTTTTCCTGGATTAGTTAAATTCTAAAAGAAAAGGCCACTAAAGCAATTAGGAGGATGTTTCAAATATGACTGAAGCGCTCGTTACAATTTAAGCCCTCATTCAAAACCCATAAAACGACACAACTATAAACAGTCAAATTTCCTTAGGTAATGTATTTGTAACAGCGACATCAGCGACCGTTTTTCGGGGCTTTTGAAAAATATTCATATACAACACTTTTTTTTTTAAATCTTTCGCAGTATTCACCCTATTTGGTAGTCTTCACCTCTGAAACAATAAGAAACTGCATTAGATAGGGTAAAATCATCACAGGTCTTCTATAATGCTTCAATGATTCTGCTTCCTTTTCATTTTAACCATGGAAAAAAATTGAGGCTGGTTGAAATTTTCAGTGTTTATTTCGTAAAAAAACATTTTAACCGCCCGGAAGCAACGGCGATTTACAAAGTAGGTCACACCGATCCCGCTATTTTGTGTTTGAACTACAATATTAGTAGTTTTCTAGCAAATGAGGCTGCTTACTACCCTATATTTAACAACCCTTCTGATTGTAAGACTGCTACTGAATTAGTCCAGTTTGGGTTAACAATCTTATCATTTCTCATATGAGACGGAGCCTTAATTTGCTCTTTTGCATGGTTACCAGTTATCAATCATGATTCCAGAATCACAAACTGTTTAAAATATTAAGGCTTTTATCAACTTTGAATTCATCCAGACTTAATTCTGATGTGGGCTTTTTGTTAGTGGTTGTTTTTTATTTACCTTCACAAGCCCTTTCAATTTAAAATGATCCAGAGGAGTGGTCGTATGCACGTCTAATTGCCGTTCTCACTAGCGTTAAGTGAACCGCATACCAGGCATCTTAAATTGGTCTACCTTAGGCCCCTAAATGAAATGATTCATGGGTTAGGTCCCATTAAGGCTAAAATCTTACGTTTGTCATATACTGAAAATGACCGTACTCAAAAATCATGTCTTGATTGTGAAATATCTTAGGATGCAGACGTAATTACTTTATGACACTATTAACAAAAAAGTTACTTTCGTTTTAAATCATAAAAAAACACCTCATGGTGCATAAAAGTTTACGCTGTTAACATTTTCAGTGCAAATGTTATTACCAAAATGCATTTGAAAGTCACGATGTGAGATTCTTGTTTTTTTTAACACCTAAATGAGGTGCAAAAACTTT